TAACGTAATTTATGGCTCGTGACCCGTTACAGCAAAAGCGCGCTCTAAACTTTTGGCCCGTGGGTGAGCTACAAAACGTGGTGGTCAAATCCTACTATTAAGTTTGAGAACAGTAGCCCAAGAGTTTGTAGAAGGTATTTTTGACTAGCTGCCTTTCTTGGAGTCTGTCAGTTAAAAAAGTAGGGGCGGCAATGTGCAGGTAACTCTTGCATATTTGTGAGCGGCATTTTTAAAGAAATATGAAACAGAGATTTAGATTTTAGTTTTCAAAAGCACGAAAGGGATTTATTGCCACAGTATTTGCTTCGTTATTAAGTAAATGAACTTGTAACGTTAAAAGAGATTATTGCGAATTCGGTTAATTTCGCTAAATGCAGCTACTTATTATTTAGGCTTAAACATTTACGCCTCATTTACATTCGCTTAAACTTACTTGACATTGTATAACACGTGATATACTCAAGTGAGTCGTGCATGATCAAGTACTGTTGTATGTTATCCAATTGTCATGCGCTCAGTACGTGAAAGCGATGTCATCTAAATATCTAGCGTGGTAAGTTTAACAACATTCGATCGTGAAAAAAATTCAAACTATATATTTCTACGTCTGTTTTATTCGTAATTTATTATAAGATAAAAAAATATTATCGCAACTCAGTTGTTAAAAACACGAAACATTATAAAAACAGTCTGTATTATAATGTTTTACCTTATTATAACCTATCTTGATGGCAGGCTCCAATGTAATAGCCTTCCACTGACATTTTGCTATATTCTTCCATATTCTATTCAAGAGCGAAATTTTTCCACAGTGACATATCTCAGAATTTCATTTCATTTATTATTAAACCGACTCAGATTTTTTGTGACAATAAATTCAGGTATGATACATCTTTAAACTCCAACAGATTCTACTTAAATCGATTTTGAGAACTTTTTACGACAATTTGTTTGTTTGTTTTTTAATTTCGCGCAAAGCTACACGAGGGCTATCTGCGCTAGCCGTCCCTAATGTAAGACTGGAGGGAAAGCAGCTAGTCATCACCACCCACCGCCAACTCCTGGGTTACTCTTTTGCCAAGGAATAGTGGGATTGCCTGAATGGGCGAACGTGTTTGGTGGGACGGGGATTCGAACCCGCGACCCTCAGATTGTGAGTTGAGCGCCCTAACCACCTGGCCATGCCGGGCCACTATTACGACAGAATCCGGGATTCGAGACCTCTCTGGTGCTCAGCCGAAATGGCCCTTTGAGTAAACAAAAACAAACGATCAAACAAATTTACTTTTGTTTCTTTTCTTTTTCAAAATTACTCCAGTCAAAAATGTAAGAAACTTAATTCTTGTAAAGGAACTTGGGAATTTGCTGAACTTTCTAAAACCACATGATAATTTTCTTGGTAAAAAAATACGGACATTTTAGAAAATAAATTGTCCCTAATGGATTTTGTTTCTGGCATGACATGTGTTATTTATTTATAACACTAACTAGACGGCGAGCAACCAGTTTTTCTCTAGGGGATCTCGGGCGGCCACAGGTTAGATGTTGGTTTAATGAGAGTTTCTCTTTATTTTCCTGCTTAATTGACTATATTCTTGTTATCCCGTATAGTTTTCGTGTCGATGACGTTGATACAGCTGTAATTAAATGCTTTTTGTTTATTGCTTCTGCAAATGGATTAGAAATAGATTTAACAGAGTTATTTATATGGTCGCAAATTAACCCAATTCTGTCAGTTCCGTGCACTGATGGCTTTCGACAAAATACTGAATAACCAAAACATTTCAGAGGAGGCAACTGAACTGTTTAATTTTACTTTTATTTTAATATTCATATCAAAGTAATGTTTACGTGTTTATTTTTTTTTTATTATAACGGGCTGGGTGTGGCCTAGTATTAGTGTAACCAGACTGTGAATTCGTGGGTTTATGGCTCCACACTTTGGGCTCGTGGTTGCTCTACAAGAGTGATGGTGAAATCATTCATATAAGAGTAGCCCAAGAGTTGGCGGTGGGTGCTGATGACTAGCTAGCTACCACTCCAGCTTATCACTTCAAAATCAGAGACGGCTGTGCGCAGATAGCCCTTGTGTAGTTTTGCGAAAATATTTAAAACAAAAATCACAATACGCAGTTTAATAATAATAAAATTAAAACACAAAACATAGTTATCGGTTTAATCTCTCAGGACTATTTTCTATCGCGTTAAATGTTTAAGAAAAGGTGAATTGGTTTGGTCTGTTTTGAATTTCGCGCAAAGCTACACGAAAGCTATCTGTGCTAGCTGTCCATACTTTAGCAGTAATAAACTAAAATGAAAGCATCTAATCAACACCACCCACTGCCAACTCTTAGATTACTCTTTTACCATCGAATAGTGGGATTGACTGTCACATTGTAACGCCCCTAGAAGGAAAGCATCTAGTCAACACCACCCACTGTCAACTCTTGGGTTACTCTTTTACCATCGAATAGTGGGATTGAATGTCACATTGTAACACCCCTAGAAGGAAAGCATCTAGTCAACACCACCCACTGTCAACTCTTGGGTTACTCTTTTACCATCGAATAGTGGGATTGACTGTCACATTGTAATGTCCCCACGGGCTAAGGGGCGAGCATGTTTGGTGGGACGGGGATTCGAACCCGCGACCCTCAGTTTGCCCATCTTAGTCGTGTAATTATTGAAGAGATGCATATTGCTTTTTAAGTCCATTTTTCTAGACTATACTTGTACCACATTGCTTGTAGGTCCATGTCTTTGTTGGTTGCATTATCTCTAATAGCATACAAGGCATACAAGAAATTCAAACAAAAATACCATCAATTTTGTAGTTAATCCCATTAATTACTCCAGCCACCCCTTTGTATTTTACATTTAAAACGTACCGTAAATACAAATTAATTATACCCTTCAATGGAAATAAAGGAGAAAGGACATATTAACGACAGGAACCACAAATGATTTATGATAGTTATGTTAGTAATTATCGTCATGAGTACATATTTTCAAATATGAAAGTTGCTATTAGTTCCCCACGGACACAGCGGTAAGATTGAAGGCTTGTAACGCTTAAATCCGGGTTCGATACCCGTGGTGGGTAGATCATAGGTGGCCCACTGCATAATTTTACGCTTAACAACTAACAAACAAAAACTTGATATTTGAATTCATATTCGATTTAAAAAAGTCATGGACGATCTCCAAACGGACGTTATTTACACAATTTGTTGACCGAAGCATGCAACAAACATTAAGGAGGAATATATTTCATTGATAATATCCTAAGTACTATAATAAATATAAACCAGAAAAGTTTGCGTCAGTTTTGTTTGTGTAAAGGACGAAGCTACAAGTATATAACTGGCACTCTTAATGACACGGGGCAATGTTGCTATCAGTAGGATATTTACTGACGGTAGTAATGAGTCAATTCAGTAAAGAAAAACACATGGGGCGATGTTGCTATCAGTAGGATATTTACTGACGGTAGTAATGAGTCAATTCAGTAAAGAAAACCACATAGGGCGATGTTGCTATCAGTAGGATATTTACTAACGGTAGTAATGAGTCAATATAGTAAAGAAAAAACCGGGGCGGTGTTGCTATCAGGAGGATATTTACTGACGGTAGTAATGAGTCAATTCAGTAAAGAAAAACACATGGGGCGATGTTGCTATCAGAGGGATATTTACTGACGATAGTAATGAGTCAGTATAGTAAAGAAAAAAACCGGAGCGATGTTGCTAACAGTAGGATACTTACTGACGCTAGTAATGAGTCAATTCAGTAAAGAAAAAAACACGGGGGGATGTTGCTGTCAGTAGGATACTTACTGACGCTAGTAATGAGTGAATACAGTAACTAAACGCTATTTCATGTTATCTTACCAAAAATTTGTACCTTTATACAACCCAACTCTATTTTCCAAATTTAAGTTCAATGGAATTTAAACATTAATCTTTATACATTTATAATTTTCAACATACATATATATATGTATATATATATATATACATGCATACATATATACATATAATTATAATCACGTGACTCTACTTCTGGCGTTAATCTTAACGGAAAGGTTTGTTGCTGGTAAAAACCATTCTGAAAAGGCTGATAACACCAGAGCTAGCAAATAAAAAATGGCAAAAGGCAATAACTTACCCCAACTGAGGAAACACAACACAAGTTACCAATTAAGTTAATTATGAATTATCAAGTTCTAATAAAAGTAAACATAAGAAAACATTATATGTAACACAATCGAAACTAAAACAACTCACAGCACGGATAACCAACCTTGTAGTTTTGTGCTTAATAACAACCAAATAAACGATTTAACTCGACTTATTTTACCCTGTATCTTAAATCTCTCTAGAAAAATATTAGCTTTTGAAAATTTATATCATAATCAAGCTAGCTCAATGTATCATTTCTCAACCAATTAATCTCAGTATGGCTTTGGACCATTTAATGTAATGACCCGAGTCGGATTTATCAGTTTTAATCTAATTGTAAGCACATGTGTGAGAGCCGTTATTCGTGAAAACTAATCAACAACCAGTAATAAAACCTATATCATTTAAATATGTTGATTACAAAACTTTAGTGCATATAATAATTAATAGTTACATGTCACTGACTCATCACCTGGAAATAACGTATAATAATTAATAGTTACATGTCACTGACTCATCACCTAGAAATAACGAATACTATGACTACTTTAATTCACCTTCGTAACCCTAGCTTTGTAGTACATCGCGCTAAGTACAAGTGTAAGCTATAGCATCTTACTATAACATACCAATCACAACACGTTATTAATGTTTATACAAAAAAAAACATACCAGCTACACCCACGCTACAATGACGTCAGTTTTTTTTGCAGATATAATATAAAAATTTTGGGTTTACAAGATCAAACCTTCTTAACCCTTCTCCCCAGGAACCAAAGAAAACCGTTTCCTTGGAGATACTCATCCGTAAAAACTAACCTGATTCAAAACTGTTTTCGGTCCCCATGGCAACCGTAGGTACCTCCAGATCGCACTTGCGAGTGAAGGTCGTTGCCGTGTCTTCTAATCCTGCAATGGAAGACAGAGAGAGAGGCGATTAAAATAAGCCAAACTTTTCGATGTAGTCAATCGACGTTTGCGCTAACTCTCAGTCCTGCCACTTTAGGAAGTACCTCGGATCTCTAATTAGCAAATACAACAATTAAATAATGAAAGGCGAAAACAAAACAAAATCAAATCTCTAGTTATCCAGCTGGCAGCCAGCGATAATCACGAGTTGGGGAAAAACGGCAGTGATCGAAAAGATGTATGTAAATTAGCTACCGAATAGGGCCGAGTGTGGCTCAGTGATTAGTCAATTCGGACTGTGGATCCGAGAATTCATAGTTTGTTACTTGTTAAGGTAATAATATACTTCGTAATTTGTGGCCGTGGTTTAGTTGTAAGAGTGACAGTCAAATCTCATTATTCGGTTAGACAAGAGTAGCCTAACAGTTGGCGGTGGGTGCTGATGACTGTCTTCCTTTTAGGTAATATAAATAGCAAATTTAAAGAAATACTGTGGATATAGACAAATTACATATGTTAATGGTATGGATATAAAGAAAAACTGGAGAAAATATGTGATTGGATATTTAAGGTGATACTGTGGATATAAACAAATTACATATGTTAATGGTATGGATATAAAGAGAAAATATTATGTGAGTGGATATTTAAGGTGATACTGTGGATATAAACAGAAAATGGAGGGAATGTTATATAAGTTGAAATTCAAGTTTAAAATGTGGATATAAACAGAAAATGAAGGTACTGCTGATGGAACGATGCAGGTGATTTAAGGTAATATTTTAATGACAGGGTAATGGCGTGGATTTAAACAGCGATTGTAGGTGCTATTGTTGGTATGAGCACAAAAATATAATAATATTTGAGATTAACAACAAACAACAAATTTTGATGGATAACAGCAAATATATATATATATATTGATGTGGATATAAAGACCAGTGAACATCTCCGGGACTATGAAAAAAAGGAGAATAAAAGAACGCCACTAGGGACTGAACAAGGTTTTACTGAATAGCTTATTCTTCACTGCGATGACTGTTCTACTTAAAGTCAAGCTGGAATTGAAGGTTTATGAAGAAATGTCACTTGTTACATAGCAACAAAGCAAAAAGGAAGAAAGATGAAAACCTCGAACACAAAAAAAAAAAACTGTGGTCATGCTAAGAATTCAACACATCAAGAGAAAGTGTAGAAACAGAAACTGATACACACCAGGTAAAAATATCAGAATATATTACACTTAAAACTTAAACTACAGAAGTCGAAAATAACGCTTTAAAATATAACGTTATGAGTTTTTTATACGATCTTCGACTTCTTACCATCAGCGTTATCTTTCGGAGCAATTGTAATAGATAGTTCCGGCAAGACGTTTTGAAATACATTAAAGAAATCATTCCAGGACTTTGTGCTTTTACCATGTTGTTCTCCGTGACCTTAATGGGAAATGATATATTAGTCGCGTTGGTCTGTCAATGATTTATATATTAGTGCTGCCAATTTTCTTGAAAAACAATGATGGAGTAAACCACCGAACCATCAGTCTTGACCTCTGACATATTTCAAAGTTGATGATAACTACTAGAGAAATACATGTTTGTTATTTTGAACTTTTGCTTTTATAAAATGGGTTTTGATTTTTTAAACCCATTGAAAGGCTAATTACGTTACGGAAGTATAGGTAAGTATCGTCAGACTTCAAATAAAGGCTGATTATGTTACGAAAAAACATATAATTATTTTTGGACTGATAAAAGTTTAATCACGTCACAAAAAAAGCGCGTTAGTGTTGTTGGAATGAAGAAATAAGGCATTATTACTGATTCAGAATAAGGACAATTCACGCGACGAAAGAACAAGTTATTGTTGTTGGAATGAAGGAAATGACCACGACACGAATAAATAAGGCATTATTATTGATCCAGAATAAGGACAATTCACGCGACGAAAGAACAAGTTATTGTTGTTGGAATGAAGGAAATGACCACGACACGAATAAATAAGGCATTATTACTGATTCAGAATAAGGACAATTCACGCGACGAAAGAACAAGTTATTGTTGTTGGAATGAAGGAAATGACCACGACACGAATAAATAAGGCATTATTACTGATTCAGAATAAGGGCAATTCATGCGACGAAAGAACAAGCTATTGTTGTTGGAATGAAGGAAATGACCACGACACGAATATATAAGGCATTGTTATTGATCCAGAATAAGGACAATTCAAGTGACGAAAGAACAAGTTATTGTTGTTGGAATGAAGGAAATGACCACGACACGAATAAATAAGGCATTATTACTGATTCATAATAAGGGCAATTCATGCGACGAAAGAACAAGCTATTGTTGTTGGAATGAAGGAAATGACCACGACACGAATATATAAGGCATTGTTATTGATTTAGAATAAGGACAATTCAAGTGACGAAAGAACAAGCTATTGTTGTTGGAATGAACGAAATGATCACGACACAAATATATGAGGCATTATTATTGATCCAGAATAAGGACAATTCAAGTGACGAAAGAACAAGCTATTGTTGTTGGAATGAACGAAATGATCACGACACAAATATATAAGGCATTATTATTGATCCAGAATAAGGACAATTCAAGTGACGAAAGAACAAGTTATTGTTGTTGGAATGATGGAAATGATCATGCCTCTCTTCTGTGCCCTTGCTAAACTGTGTTCTAGATGTTCTCCCTTGTGCTTACACCAAAGTCAAATGTCCTTCAGCGCTGTTTCCCTACTGTCTCTAATAGAATAAGACTTCTTGTCAAAACCTTATAGCATTTACCCTATGTAGAGGAATGAGTACATGTTAAATATTAAGTTTTTAAAAAAATAAGACCAGATGAGTTTTTATAATTTTACAAACTCACCCTTTCTTGAAGTTGATTTCGCCTCTCTTATTAACACATTAAAAATAACCATTTATGTAACATTCAACAAGTAGTTATATCGCAAGGATAATGCCCGTTTTTATCTCCAATCGAAAATTATACCAACGCCCTTAATTTCATGTTAGGAGTTGGTGTCTCTTAATGAACTGAACTACATACAAATCCAGAGCTTCATATCGGGAGTTGTTATGTTTTGAATGAATTGGGGTACATTCAAATCCAGAGCTTGTTTGATTATCAGAAACGCTATGTTAATTAATAAAAACTGACAACTTGTGTTCTGTTTCTCTAATCAACAGTAGCATATGAAACTTTAACAACACTTATTAATTCTGTAGTTTAGGGTGACGCATGACAAACAAATAATTTTGCCCCAAAACAAGTAACTATTCCTCAACTGTTATTATTAGGGTGACGCATGACAAACAAATAATTTTGCCCCAAAACAAGTAAATATTCATCAACTATTATTATTATTACTGAACAATATATATAGTTTCATTAAATTTTTAAGTGTATTTTCCATACTGTTTACTTCTGTAAACAATAGAAGTAAAGAAACAGCTAGGTTTTCCCCGCGGCGTTGTCTTTTGGTACTTTGCAGGCGCCGAGTAATAAATGCACGGTTTGGGAACAGTTAGAGATGTTAACGTAATTACCGAGTTTGTCCTATCCACCTGCCAGTACCATTACAGATATCACGCGGGGATGTCGAGGCTCATCGACGAGACTCTAGTTGAATGTATAGAAAAAAAAAGTGTTATTAAACCAAGGGATTGTGGTAGTTTCAAACGTTGACTCCCCTACCCACCCATTTTATTGCATCGCGTTTCTTGCGCTACTGACTTGACCCAGCAGCCGCCATTATGCTCCCAACACACCAATTCTTTTACTTCACAGCAACCTCACACGGTTGGTTTGGGGTTCCCAGTTGCTAATAGGACTTGCTCTATTATCATGGAGGCACCCTGGGGTCCATAATCCATTTTGCAGTTCAGTATTTCTAGCTGAACATCTTAATTTACTTCTCAAAACTTTTCCACAGCTGAGATGGGATTAAGGGAGCTTCGTACGCCGAACAGAAAATAGCGACGGTAAGCTCAAGTCCCCCGTGGATTGATGTGAGCTCTCGTGTTGAGCGACTTTTCTTATCCGCGTATAAACTGACTATTTTCAAAGCCTGGTTAGGAAATGGCAGCTAAAAGACGTCACTTTAAAAGCTGCTACAAAATGATAGGATTACTTGAGATGTATGTAAACAAACGAAGATTGACCAAATCGGGAAACAGATGTAATGTTAAAGTTCAGTTAACTCGATTACTTGGAGGTTTGACAAGCTAAAAGTCATTTTTGATAAGTATTCGGTAAATAATTTTCAATTGATTCAAACCACACCCGTCTTTAAAATTAGTCTTTTATTGAGTTTAATGAAGATTCAATATTTGATTTACTTTAGAATATAACTTTTGATTATGGTATGGAATTCAAACTTAATTAATCAACATAAAAAAGTAAAGATTGTGCAACCCGTCTTTCGTCTGTCCCTCGGGGAAGGTTGATTTATCAAGTATCTCTACTGGCTCCGTTGAGGTGGTCGTCATGGGATTTCAGTTGCCATGGTAACGTTCAAACCTCGCTAAGCATGCAAATTACATTCACAATCTCCTGGGGAAAAAGAGGATAAAAAACATCGCATACAGGAAAATGAAAACTAACGTGGGTAAAGAAAAAGCGCTTTGTATTACATGTACATGAAGGGACAGTACCGTAGAGTTAATTTACATATCAATTTTTTACTCTCCTATACGTCTAGCTTTTTCACACATTTTACAAACACATGCGTCTCTTCTTTTTTTTCACACAATTTGCGATTATACTTCAAGCCACTGAAAGCCACATGTAAAATGTAGAGTAAGATGCTCCACCCCCTATTTCCAGGTAACTGGAATATTTGTCTTGATGACTGTTTGTTAGTGGGAAAAGTGACAAACAGGTTTATTACAAAAAGCAAGTGGACAAGTAACTTCAAGTGTTAAATGATTGTGTATTTAAACTAGAGGGGCACTCAGTAGAGTGTATAACTCT